ATTTCTGTCTTTTGATTTTATTCTTTTATCTTTACTCTTTATGAAACATTGTTCACTAACGAGTATTGCCTAGGAAAGGTTCTACTACTTGCAGCTATAAAGCTTAAAATTATGTTCCTGATAAGAAGCCAATGTGAAGAGATACAACAGTCTACCATACAGAAGACATAGCACCTACTACTACTCAAGGAGTTTCAACCTGGACGGAACCATTCAGAACCCGACATAGGAAGCTGTCAAATCCAAACAAGAGGAGAAAACAAATTCTTTTTCAAATAATTGTTTTCCGTCTTAAGGGGGGAGGTGTTATGATCCCGTACTCAATATTCACATTTTCAAATTTTTATAAACAAAAGACTGGCGACGAACTCGAATTGTTCTTCTTTAGAAGCGAAGCTTCTAAAGACTCCTTCTTTTATTTTATTTGCAAGTGTTTGCTAGTTCCCATTGTTGCTCGTTCGAAACAGTTGACTGACGAAAGACCAAAGTAATATAGGCAAGCTACACCGCTTGGCGTCGGTTCATTTGATTTTTAGTCTAGCTGTAATAAGTTCTTGTTTATTAATATTAGTTTTGTGATAGTTTTAAGTGCTTGTTCATTACTTACAAAAATAAAGAACGAACCGAATATAACAATATATATATATAATTAAAAAAAGAAGGAAGATATAAAAAGAAAGAGAGAGAGAGAGAGGTAGATGGAGATATAGAGAATTATATAAATCATTTATTTAATCTATATATATATATATATATATATATATATTATTATTATTTGTTTTTGCAAAATTTATCATACATATTTATGTATATGTACAATCGATATGAAATTCGCGGTGTGTTATTGTAATAATAATAATAATAATAATAATAATGATAATAACGGTTGGCTTGAATTGCCTTAAATTTAAAATTTTCTCGTCTCGTTTTTCCATTTTTTTTTTTAGTGTAAGTCAATTGAATTTAAATGGAAAATTTTCTTTATTGAAAACTTCAACAACAAATAAATAAATGTAATAAATAATATTCGTTAAGTTATTTTTAAGAGAAAAGGAAAAAAAGGAAAAAAAAGGAAAAAAAAAGGCTATTTGTACCTTGATTTAATTTAAATATATAAAATATATATAATTTCTTTATTATTATTATTATTATTATTATTATTATTATTATTATTATTATTATTATTATTATTATTATTATTATTATTATTGTAAGAATAATAAATAAGAAGGGATAGTTTTTTATTATTTTTCAGGGGGTGTAAATTTTTTTTTTTTTTTACCAAATTAAAAATTAAAAAAATTATTTTTATTATGTTTTTTTCTTTGTCTTAATCACACATCAGGGATTATATTATTATTATTATTATTATTATTATTATTATTATCATTATTATCATTATCATTATGTATATCGGTGTTAAATGTTTAATTTAATAAAAGGAAAATAATTGCAAATTATTAAAGCTTAATAGATTTATCACAAATTTTAGAAATACATAATTTTAAAGATTTTATATATAATAATATGAAATGTAGATCCCCCGGGAAAACTAATAATAATAATAATAATAATGATGATGATGATGATGATGATGATGATAATACCGGAAACAAAAAAAAAATTCAAAGATTTTCAGGGGAGTAAAAAAAAAAAAAAAAAAAGGAAAAAGTGCTACTACAATAACTAAAAAAATTCTGGCAATGTTTGTTTGTTTGTTCATTCGTTTGTTTTTGTTTAAATATTAGCTATGTTTAGTTTTATTATTATTAATATAAAATTTAAAAGAAATGAAAAAAAAATTGAAAAAAATGGAGAAAAAAAAAAAAAGGTGAATAATAAAATAATTTAATTAATTATTATTAATATTATTATTATTG